GTTTGATTAGTAGTATGAAACTGAGTTCTAATGGAACCAGTTTGTTCAGTTAATTTCCTCTAAAATTAAAAGACTACTTACTTCAGTGCTAGACAATAAATCATAAACAAAAGACTTAACACAATTTCTGAATGGTATCAAATCTACTGCCCCTAAAACATAAGGATATTTCATTTCAGCAAACAGTGTTCTTAATTGTGAATATATATCTATTCTAAATATAATTAACATATGATATGCATTAACAGACATTTATTATCTGTGGTATATAAATTATCAGACTATTAGGATAAAAACTAGGCATTCCATTTCTCAAGCAATTATGAAAGAAAGAGCAATGTTTTAATGTGTTGTTAATATACTCCTCCAAAGACTATGGGTTGCAGTACTTATTCTTCCAGAAGAAAGAAAAATAACATGTGCTGAACTCTGACTATGGTATTTTTTTCTTCCTTTGTCTTAATATCAGCCCATTCATTTATTCAGGCAACACTTATTGAACATACACTGGGTACAGATTTTGTGCTAGTGACAGGGTACACAGCAAGCAAAGTTCTAGTCTAATAGGAGAGATGATGTTAAAAACAAAAAGCTCACAGTTGTAGATCTAATTTTAATATTCACTATAAGCTTTTAAAGTGAAGAACAGGTGCTATGAGACAATATATTTGGGAACTTTTTGTTTTTGAGGATCAGGAAAGATGCCCCTCGAAAACTAACATTTAATTGGAGACCTGAAGGATATAGTAGCTGGCCTGTGGAAGAATGCAGGAGACACGATTCCTGGGCAGAGGGTATAGCATGTGTGAGGAAACAGAGGCAGCAAAGGGCTTGCTATGCTGGAGCAAGTGAAAGAAAGCCAGTGTGGCTGGAGTCGAAAGAGGGGCATGAGGTCTCTAATCTGCCCCATCCTGAACTTAGCTGCAGGGGTGAGGATGCTCTCAGGGTACCTGCGAGGCCCAGAACCCTTAATTTGGAGCAGGATGGCCTTGTGCAATTCCCCACAGACCAGGTAGATACAAGGAATTCTCTCTCAGTATTAGGTGATTTGGGAAAACAAAATGGTTCAAAAAATTTAGTTCTGAATTCTGCTTGTTGTTATGTGCTGTTGAGTCAGACCCAACTCATAGCGACCCCTCCTTGGGTTTCCAAGGCAGTATCACTATGGAAGTGGATTGCCCTATCTTCCTTCCGAGGAGTGGCTGGTGGGTTTGAACCACCAGCCTTCTGGTTAGCAGTCAAGTGCCTTAGGCACTGTGCTACCAGAGCTCCTTGAATTCCCCTTACTGGATGTTATTAGGGAACTCTGGTGGTGTAGTGCCTAAGGCATTTGACTGCTAACCAGAACAATGGTTGTTCAAATCTAGCAGCATCTCCTGGGAAGGAAGATTGCTCTATCTACTTCTGTACACATAACACCTCGGAAGCCCAAGGAGGGGTTGCTATTGAGTTGGGACTGACTTGATGGCAGTTTTTTTTTGGTTGGATGTTATTAACCAAAGGCTAAAGGGAAAAGAGCAAATTTATTTTAAACATTAACAGCAAAAATCATTTGCTGTTCACTCATAAGCACAAATATTATTATTGCAGCAACATTTACCAATGAAATAGTGATCTGGTTTAAATTACTTTTTAATTATCTAAACAATCTACTTCCATAGTGATACTGCCTTCGAAACCCATGGAGGGGTTGCTATGAGTCGGATCTGACTAGATAGCAGTGAGTTTGTTTTTTTGGTTTTCAGGCAAATCTAAGAGGACCGTGATGTGGTAAGCCGAGTATCTCAGGTTAGTAGCTGTGCAATGCCCCTTGCAGTGAATGAGGATGTCCTTCTCTCACCTCTCACCTCAGCCCATCACTCTCATCAGCCTCTCTTTGTAACATGCATTCCTATGGTTAAACAATTATTTGATTTCCATCTCTCAAAGATTTCAAAGTTATGTCTCTGTCTGCTCATATCAGTAGAGGTGTGCCTTGATTTACAGAACAAATGGTTTACAGACAATGTGTATTTAAATAAATGTGTGTGAATTAAAACAATTTCTAAATGACATTGTTGTTGTTGTTAGGTGCCATCAAGTTGTCTCCAACTAAGCGACCCTATACACAGCAGAATAAAACACTGGCCAGTCCTGTGCCAGCCTCACAATCCTTGCTATACCTGAGCCCATCATTGCAGCCACTGTGTCAATCCATCTCGTTGAGGCCTTCCCCTTTTTCATTGAGCCTCCGCTTTATCAAGCATGATATCCTTCTCCAGGGACTGATCCCTTCTGATGACATGACCAAAGTAGGTGAGACAAAGTCTAGCCGTTCTCCTTTCCAAGGAATATTCTGGCTGCACTTCTTCCAGAACAGATTTGTTAGTTCTTTTAGCAGTCCATGGGACTTTCAGCATTCTTCTCTAACACTACAACTCAAAAGCATCAACTTTTCTTCGGTCTTCTTTATTCATTGTCCAGCTCTCACATGCATAAGAGATGACTGAAAATACCATGGCTTGGGTTAAGCACACCTTAGTCTTCAATGAGAGATCTTTGCTTTTCATAACCTGAAAGAGATATTTTGCAGCAGGTTTGCCCAATGCAATACATCTTCTGATTGACTACTGCTTCCATTGGTGTTGACTGTAGAACCAAGTAATATGAAATCCTTGACAATTTCAATTTTTTTCTCCATCCATTATGAAGCTATTTACTGGACCAGTTGTGAGGATTTTTGTTTTCTTTATATTGAGGTGTACTACATACTACAGAAGGAGCTCTGGTAGCATAGTGCCTAAGGCACTTGACTGCTCACCAGAAGGCTGGCGGTTCAAACCCACCAGCCACTCCTTGAAAGGAAGGTTGGGCAATCCTACTTCCTTAGTGATACTGCCTCAGGAACCCAAGGAGGGGTCGCTATGAGTTGGGGCCAACTCGACGGCAAACAACAACAACAACAACATACTGCAGACTGTAGTCTTTAATCTTCATCAGAAATTGTTTCAAATCATCCTCACTTTCAGCAAGCAAAGTTGTGTCATCAGTGTATTGTAGGTTGTTAATGAGTCTTTCTCTAATCCTGATGCTACATTCTTCTTCATATAATCCAGCTTCTCAGGTTATTTGCTCAGCATCAAATTGAATAAGTGTGGTAAAAGGATACAACCCTAATGCACTCCCTTCCTGATTTTAAGCCATGCAGTATCCCCTTGTTCTGTTCGAATGACAGTCTCCTAGTCTATGTATGTGAGTACAATTAAGTGTTCTGGAATTCCCATTCTTCTCGATGTTGTTCATAATTTGTTATGATCCACACAATTAAATGCCTTTGCATAGTCAATAAAATACAAGTAAACATCTTTCTGGTATTTTTTGCCTTGAGCCAAGATCCAACTGACGGCAGTTATGATATCCCTCCTTCTACATCCCCTTCTGAATCCAGCTTGCACCTCTGGAAGTTCTCTGTCAATATACTGCTGCAACCATTTTCGAACTATCTTCAGTAAGATTTTACTTGTGTGATATTAATGATATTTTTTGATAATTTCCACATTCTGTGGGATCACCTTTCTTTGGAATGGCTATAAATATGGATATCTTCCAGTAAGTTGACCAAGTAGTTGTCCTCCAAATCTCTTGGCATAGCTGAGTAAATGCCTCCAGTGGGACATCCATTTGTGGAAACATCTCAGTGGGTATTCTGTCAATTCCTGGACTCTTGTTCTTTACCAATTCCTTCAGTGCAGCTTTGACTTCTTCCTTCAATACCATTGATTCTTGATCATATGCCAACTCTTGAAATGGATAAACATCAACCAATTCTTTTTGGCACAGTGACTCTGTGTATTCCTTCCATCTTCTTTTGATGTTTCCTACATCATTCAATATTTTGCCCATAGAATCTTTCAATATTGCAAGTCAAGGCTGAAATATTTCCTTCAGTTCTTTCAGCTTGAGAAATGCTGAGTGTGTTCTTCCCTTTTGGTTTTCTAACTCCAGGTCTTTGTACATTTCATTATAATGATTGGCTTTGTCTTCTCAAACTGCTCTTTGAAATCTTCTGTTCAGTTCTTTTATCTTGTCATTTCCTCCATTTGCTTTAGCTACTCTCCTCTCAAGGGCAACTTTCAGAGTCTCTTCTGACATCAATTTTGGTATTTTCTTCCTTTATTGTCTTTTTAATCACCTCTTTCTTTCTTCATGGATGATATATTTGATGTCATCCCACAATTCTTCTGGTTTTCAGTCACTGGTGTTCAATGCATCAAATCTATTCTTTAGATGGTCTCTAAATTCAGGAGGGATATTAAAAAGGTCATATTTTGGCTCTCGTGAACTTATTTTAATTGTCTTCAACTTCAACTTGAATGTGCATATGAGCAGTTGATGGTCTGTTTCACAATCAGTTCCTGGCCTTGTTTTGGCCCAAGATATTGAACTTCTCCATCACCTCTTGTCACAGATGTAGTCAATCTGATTCTTGTGAATTTCTTCTGGTGAAGTTGTATAGCCATTGCTTATGCTGTTGAAAAAAGGTATTTGCAATGAATAAGTCGTTGGTCTTGCAAAATTCAATCATGCAATCTCCAACGTTATTTTTAAATCACATAGGAAGCTAAATTTTTAAAGCAAATTGGAGGAAAATACATCAGCAAAGTAGGAACTTGTTCCAACAAGTTAATGAGAACCCACACATTTTTTTAACTGTATAATTTTATATTTGCCTATAAGGAATATTGCTAGGAAAAAATAATTTTTCACAGCTTATAATTATCTTAATTTCTTTATCCTAAAGGTATGAGGATTAGAAAAATATTCACAAGGGGCTTCAAATGTTACTATAATATTTTGTTTCTTAAAAATTGAGGCAATGAAAATATAAAATAATAAAATTTGACAAAAGGGAATAGTATGGACATGGATATTTCCTATATTATTTATTTTCTTGAAATACTTCACAATTAAATAAATGAAAAATAAAGATATTTAGGTTTTTTTTTTCTTTATTGCTATAGAAAGTATTCATCTTTTCTGGAACATTTAGAAAAAACTTGGATCCCTATGAACAGTGGAGTGATCAAGAAATATGGAAAGTTGCAGATGAGGTAAGGATGCTAAATAAAATCATTTTGGAAAAGGTAGCTCATACACACACAAGAGAATTTTACACATACAGGAGATAAGTCTATACATCTACCTTTGTGTGTGACTGTGTGTACAAGTTGAAAATGGAGTACTCTAATATACTTGGATATCTTGTACCTTGGATATACCACTCTCTTCACGGTAAGGCTTCCACTATCCGGTTCTAGAGATAGCATTACTCTGGTCTGTTCCCAAAATGCAGCAATGACACATGAACTAGGATAGGCCTGGCCGACAGTGTACCTGGATTATCCTTGATATAGGGATCATCTCTCCACATCTTTTTATCTACTTCTTCTCTGGGTTCTAAACCTTTGCAGTACAAGGAGGTGAATTTGGTTTAACATAGTTCTCTGAAGAGCATGGATTTACCAAAGAAGTATAATTATTCTAGAGCACCTGAGATGACTATAGTTTTCTCTGGGACCCAGAAGTGAACTGCCTTTTGGGAATGTGACTATGACTATATCCAGGCAAAATACCATATGACCTAGATGAGACACACTACATTTTTTGAAGTCACTAAAATATATAGATTAAAATGGAATAAAAAAAAATTAAATAACACCTGTGTTTACCCAAAAGGTGGTTTGTTAATATTTCAAGAATTTATACAGACAAATTTTGGGGTGAGGAGAGTTTAAAGGATGCTGTTAGTTCCCTTAATAGAACACTGCAGCTGTTAACTGATAATTCTTGAAAGAGGCATTATATTAAAGAAAAAGGAAACATAAATTATTCTATTTCATCAAATTTGATAGCAGGCTAGAATTATAGGACTTCACTACATTTCAATTCAAAGGTCTTTTTATCTCACTATTTCTTGCACTTTTCATCCTTGTTTTGGCCCAATTCTATTTATCCCAAATGTTCATTCATTTTTTTGCCTCCCTTCAGAATGGACCTTTCCAGCTTTGAAATACTTGTGAGTGTTAAACACTTACCTGTGGAGTGCTCAGACTTAACATGCTCCTTATAAAATGTCCTTACATTAACCATTTTTGTTATCAAATTTCCTTATTACTCAACAAACACAGGAGCTTTAAAGAAAACACTAACTAAATTGCAAGTAACACATTTTAAGATCTTTGATGCGACTTCAGATAATGAACTATAGGAAACACAACAAGTGGGAGAGAAACTTGGGATAAAAAAGATATTAAACCTTTTAACATCTAAGAGTCTTGCCAACTCACAATATATTTACAGAAAAGCAGGAACATAAAAATATTCTAAAATTTTTGATGACAAGGTTAAGATTTTAAACACCAACATAATATAAAAATTGTACCTGATTAGATTTTGTTTGATCATCTTGTATTTAGGTATATCTTTTTACTGATTCCCATATCAATAATTTGCTGCTCATATGCAAAGACGTTACTGCTATGTCCTTTTTGTCATAGTGACAAGTTTTCATTGAAAGGAATGCAAAATAGCATACCAACCAACCATCCAATCACCAAACGGCCCAGATAAGCAGAAATGGCATTGGTTAAAAACTACTAGACCTAGGCTTTGGTCCTGTATGACTGACCATATAATTTATTTTCCAAACTAGAAGATTTTTGAGTATGCCAAACTCTAAGCTGAACAGGATCCCAGGACAAAAATTATAAACCAGGACCATCCAGGGCAAACCAGAATGGTTTTTAATCTTATCTAGCCCTCCCTGCAACCTTGGTGTGAATCACGTCTCAAGAGTGAAAGGAAATTGAGTAGTAGCAGATAGCAAGACATCTGAATCCTACCTAACAACACAGCCTGCATAAGTCCCCTCCCTCAAAATGGAAATAAAGAGCAAGAGATGACAATGCCAGGCCAAGAAACACTATTTCTTGCTTAGGCTTTGGTGCTAGGCTCCAGTGTGGAACCGTATCCTTGCTGATCTGGACTGGATTTCATAAAACCATGAAGATGGGTGCCTAGCTACTAACTCTAAGTCTTAGAACCAAAACTGACTGAACACAGTCTCCTTTCCATTGGCATTCTAGGCCCACACTTGCGTTTAGGCACTCTCGGCCTTATCACTTTGTGGATGAATCAACACAAGGACAAGGAAGGGAAAAAAGGTTTCTATTTAAGTCCTAGAACTGAGACTTTTTCCATCTCAAAATTACCCAGGTTTAGAGAACTTACCCACAGGAGCAATGATTTTATTAGCTACCTAAACCAAAGAGAGTTCCAAAAGAGATTGAATCCCATGGACAAAATTAAAATTGACCCCTAGCACTATGGCCCATTAAATTGGTAGGGTTGTTGTAACTTTTAAGGCTTATATATGTTATAATGGGCACAGCCCAGTGACTGACAAATAATAAGTACTAAGTAAATGTTAGCTATTATTATCATGTTTCCATCTGGTCTTTGCCTAGCCAACTCTTAAATGTTGTTCCACAGAATCCCAATGCTTGCTTCACTTTGTTTTTTTTTCTTCCTGGGAAGTTTCATGCATCTTCTTGGCTCTTTGTTGACTCCCAAATTTGCCTGGTCCCAGAGCTCCCTACCTGTTCTTCTGCCTGTTAGACAGCTCAGCATACACAACCGAATGGGCTTCTTAGCTGCCTCACATGTACACATGTTCCTAATCTCAGTGAATAGCTTCACTGCCTTCCAGTTACCCAAAGCAGAGACCTCAGAGTCATCCTTAATTCCTGAATTCCCATCAACCCCTATATATCAAGTCCTGTCTCTCTACCTCCTACAAATATCTAGAACTTATACACTCTTCTCCATGCCCATCTGATACCACTGCACTATCTCTACACGTCATTCTGAAACAGGCTTCCAGCTCCCTAAAGTTCTTTCTGTTGATCTTTCTCAACCACAAATCTGAGAACTTGTTTCTCACCTTTCTATACAAACTTATTGCCCTCTGGACAAAGTCCACACACCTTAAAGTGGCTTACAAGCTCCTTCACAATCTGGGATTTGCCTACCTCTCTAAGCTCACTCTCCCACTTTCCCAGGCTCCCATGATTTAACTATACTGAATTTATTTTTGTTTCTTTAAAGCACCATGTGCTGTGTTCTCTACAGGCATTTACACATGCTGTTCCCTATTCCTGGACAACTTCCCCCAACTATTCACTATCTGCTCCTACTCATCATTCAAGCCTCCCCTTAGATATCATTTCTCCCAGGAAACCTACTCTGATGCTCCAGGAAGGGAGGGGCCATCCCCAGGTGGTCCCTGTATCTCCACCGTTTAATCACATTACTCACATTGCATAGAGATTCATGTCTTGTCCATGTCCTCCACTCGATTGTAAGTTCCTTGAGGGCAGGGATCATGTCCTACTCACTGTTGTATTTCCAGGGCCTAGAGTAGTGCTAATGAGCCCTAGTGGCCCAATGAATAACTGTGTGGCTGCTACCCAAAAGATCAGAGGTTCAAATCCACCGGTGGCTCCATGGGAGAAAATACCTGGTGATGTGCTCCTGTAAAGATTAACCAAACCAAAAACCAAACCTGTTGCCATTGTCAATTCCAACTCATAGTGACCCTACAGGACCTTACAGTACAACTGCCCCATGGGGTTTCCAAGGCTGTAAATCTTTACGGAAGCAGGCTGCCACATCTTTTTCCCACAGAACACCTGGTGGGTTTGAACTGCTGACCTTTCAGTTAGTAAACAATTGCCACCAGGGCTCCTTCCCATAAAGATTACAGCCTAGGAAACCCTATGAGGCAATTCTATTCTGTCCTGTAGGATTGCTATGAATCAGAATCAGCTGGACAAGACTCAACAGCAGCAAGAGAATAGTGTTGGGCACATGGATGGTGTTCAATACTGATTGAATGAATAAATAAATAAATGGTCCTTTCATGGACAAAGTGCTTCATGTATATGATGTCACCAAAACAACCTTGTAATTAGTACATGACCAGTATGACATCTCCATTTTAGTATGAGGAAACTGAGCTTCAAGAAGCCTGACTTGGCTGAGGTTGTTGGTGGATTCCCAAACAGGGCAGCATCCCTGACTTCCTGATCACAGGTGATTTCCCCAGCATGGCCTGTCTCGTTGTGATCCATAATCTAAGCACTGTGTCTATTGGTTTTAGAATGATGGCATTTTTGGTAATTGTTTGCTTTTTAGATAACCCCTAAAATAGTTTCCTTCCTCCCATACACATCAATCGGTAGTCAGGCGAGTTGTTCTAGAAAGCAAGCTAAATAGCAGAAATGGTGGCCTTTGAAGTTGGAAACTTACTCTGAAAAAACCTGCCACATAGCAAAAGGAGTGTCAAAAGGAGTTGACAATGTCTATTTTTATACCTGCCCACTAATGGACTTTTCAGTCCAACGATTCACTTTTCTGATTTTTTTCATGCTTCCCCATCACAAGACCAAACTCTTGCTCCATACTAACATTCCAAAGTGCAGCAGTAGCTTAAGTCAACATTTTGAGAAAAATACCTGGTACTTCACAGACTGCTGTCAACATTTACTTTGATACACCACAAAACAAAATTGCTCCTTGATAACCAGCAGCTTGGGAAGCATATTCAGCACATTAGCTCAACAGAATGAAGCTAGCAAATGTTTGTTCTAAAAGCAGCTCTTTATATCCACAAACTATTGGTGCTTTCCTTTATTAATGGTAGGTAAGAATGAAAACAATAGAGAAGTTTAGATTCCAGCAATTTTGAATTCACCTTAGTTTGGACAGGGTTGACTTCAAGTTAGTATTTATTTTGAACCTACTGAAGAATGGTTTATGATGATCCAGTAGGATTACATTGATGTATAATACACACACACAAATACACACATACACACATATACACACACAAACATATATAATTAAATGAGTCAACTGCTAACGATCACTAACTTAGACCTTTTTAGTGATTTTCACTTCAGTCTTTTGTTTTTCTCTCTCTTTCTCACCCAACCCTTGTTAAAATTCTTCAGAATAAACAGTAATTATCTACTTACTATTTTTCTGCCCAGCTGGACAAGGAACTCCTTCAAGACAGGGCCAGTGTTATTCATCTTTGAATCCCCAGTTCTGCCATAATGTTTTAAATACATTTGTTACATGTTCATTGAATTCACAATTTAAAGTTTTGCTAAGTTATGTTGACCTTTCTCTAAGAATATGATTTAAAATGATTTTGACCGTACTTCAAAAGAATAGTGAGACAGGAATGTTGCAAATACCCCCCCCCCCACACACACACATATTGGTCTGCTTCACTAACTGTCATTCATGATTAAGATTCTGTTCTCTAAATATTGACTAACCCAAACCCCTGCCATCCAGTTGATTCCGACATAACCACCCCATAGGACAGAGGAGAACCGTCCCTTAGGCTTTCCAAGGCTGTAAATATCTGTGGAAGATTATACCTCATCTTCTCCTGTGGAGCAGCTGGTGGGTTCAAACTGCTGACTTTTTGGTTAGAAGCCAAATGCTTTAACCACTGCTCTACCAGGGCTCCTCAATAGTGACTGTCATGTATATTTAAGTAGTAAAGAGAGTTTCATCTGGGAAGACACACATTGTTCAGCTCTTTATCACAGAGCAGTCGATGTCTAACACGTGAAGCAGCTTTCCTTGTACAGCCTTAGAAAATCAATGTACGACTGGTATGACTCTAGAGGGAGCGTACACCCGACTACCTTCTTACCAAAATCTCAACCCATTTTCTCTGAGGGTGATGTAACTTAATAGCAGTGAGGTACTTCCTGCTAAGTTAGTTCCTCAGGTAACTTGTGAAGGGAAAATCCTTCAAACATTAATGTGATACCAAGACAGTGCTTTAGTAAGGGGACGAGTGTCCTTGGGATATCAGTATTAATAGGTTCTGGGTGATTCAAAGGCGCCCTGGTGGTGCAATGGTTAAAGGGCTCAACTGCTAACTGAAAGGTCAATTGCTGAAACCCACCACTCTGTGGGAGAAAGATGTGTTGTTCGGCTTCAGTAAGGATTTACAGCTTTGGAAACCCTATGGACAGTTCTACTCTGTCCTTCCAGGGTCTCTATGAATCAGAATTGACTCGATGTGGTGCAAATAATTAGGTGCTCGACTGCTAGCTGAAAGGTTGGTAATTCGAACCCACCTGGAGGTGCCCTGAAAGACAGACCTCTATTATGTGCTTACCTTGTGTCATACTCTGGCAAGCTCTTCCTGAAAATTAGCTCACTTAATCCTCAGAACAACTCTATGAGGTCACTACTATTGTATACTCCATTTTTAACCTGTGATGCGATGATGTTTAAAGTAACACTGTGTGTATTCAATTCTTACAATCCTTCGCACATGTCTTTATAAACTCTGAACCTCATAGGGGCCATGTACCATTTATTGTTTCCTCAATACCTATTAGGGTACCAGGCACATAGGAAGCATTCACTGAAAGTCCCAGAATGAATGAAGTACAGAACTGAAACAAGGCATGGAATTTATCCCAGAGTGCTGCCAAGATGAAAAAATAGATTTTTGCTCAATAAAGCCCAACTAGCAGGAAGTGGGATAGATATGAAATTTAAGCTTTCAGAACTCCAATGTTTATTTTTAGATTGTCAGATGATCAGGCATTTTTAATTCCATGGTACCTGACCTACTGTCTCTAAGCACAATGGTTTCCCTCTTTCTTTTCTGTAGGTGGGACTCAGATCTGTGATCGAGCAGTTTCCCGGGAAGCTTGATTTTGTCCTTGTGGATGGGGGTTATGTCCTAAGCCATGGTCACAAGCAGTTGATGTGCTTAGCCAGATCTGTTCTCAGTAAGGCAAAGATCTTGCTGCTTGATGAACCGAGTGCTCATTTGGACCCAATGTGAGTTTCAGAGTCCTGCTATCTAATAACACAATGAAAATAGAATCACGAAGGCCTACTTCATATTGATATATATTCCCATTAGGCTGTCATATCTGCAAGTGGAGGAACCTCCTCTGAATATGAAATAATTGCCCAGGGGAAAAGTTAGTCTTTGATGTAAGCACAAATGCTTATTTCCTAGACTAAGAACCCTGTGTTCTCTTTTGAGTGTTGCTTTAGAATTTCATACCAACTCTTCCCTCTTGTCAACACATGATGAAATATTCAGTTACATAGGCATATGTAATATATGATTTTCCTTTGTATTTCATTTATATCATATGAAATATTTATAGCACAAAAAAAGAATTCCTAGTGCTTCCACATAATGAAAAATGTACTCATCTGTGACATTTTCTTCAAAAGCTTTGTTCTGTTTATTTATGGAAACCTAGATTCTACTCCATGATTGAAAAGCTAATTGTGGCTAACTTTGTCAACATTACGGCAAAAGTTTTTAAAGACAGATGAAACTTAAAGAACCAAATTGATAGAGGAATAGGCATGTAATCAAAGATAAAGGCTGATTATTGATGTTCTGTAATGTTATATGTGGTATTTTTTCTTTTCTAGAACATACCAAATCATTCGAAGAATCCTAAAACAAGCATTTGCTGACTGTACAGTAATCCTCTGTGAACACAGGATAGAAGCAATGTTGGAATGTCAACGATTTTTGGTGAGTCTTTATAATTTACTTAAGATCTGGTTTTTCCTTTAACTCTTGATGATTATCTCATACGTGACCATTCCTGTAAATTGTTGCCACGTACAAGTTCTTCCTTAAATCTTGTATCATATAACTTTAGGCTTTACTCAAAATAGCTACACAAGTTTCTTACTTTGATTTAAGCGTTTAGGTTGGAATTCAGTAACTCAAAAATGGATAGCATATTACTACATTACATTAATAAATTAGAATATCTGTACTTTTGAGCCCTTTAGTTTAGTAGTAAGTTATAAGAAAGACTTTACTACATAAAACAAAGACCTAATGGTTTCAATAATTAGCTTTCTTTTGGATGAGGTCCAGGACAGGCCTAGATTTTCATGTAGTCTGATTTATGGTTTTAATACAGTAGTTGAAGGGCTCATTTCATTTCTCTATTCATTATTTGGAGTTCAAGTTAGTTCCTCTCCCATCCACCTTTCCACTGTTCTTTCAGAACTGTCACAGATTCTCTGAAGTGATGTTTTCACATTCTCTCTGGTTCAGTCATAAGAAAGTTTCTGAGGATGATGCACTGCATCATTTCTGTTAAGTCTTTTCAGCCTCTTGGAGGCAAATGCCTTCTTTACTGAGGGATTATTGTTACTATCTTTCCTAAACTTTAAGTGACAAATTAGGGGCCAGGATAACAACCTCTTGCTCTGCTACAGACAGGTTCAAGAGATTGGGCAAAGCCCTTCTTTCTTCTGGCCATGGGTAACATGCGAAGGCAATCTATTAAACATAATCTATTTGGAATTGTTAGGCTTCAGATCAATTGTTGTAGAGGTTGATATTTTAGGTAATCTGTAAGGGATTTAATAGGAATCATTCTTGGTTTCAAAGTACTTTGAGTTCTTCTAAAGTTCTCTGCAGAAGTCCTTTGTCCAGTACAATGTTGTTAAAGGGGCTCTGGTGGTGTAGTGATTAAGCCATGTGGCTGCTAACTAAAAGGTTAATGGTTTGAACCTACCAGCTGCTCCATGGAAGAAAGATAAGGCAGTCTGCTCCCACAAATATTTGCAGCCTTGGAAACCCAATGGGGGTTGCTGTGAGTTGGAATCGACTCAATGGCAGTGAGTTTTTTGAATTACTATTGTTGTTGGGTGCTGTCAAGTTAATTCCAACTAATAGCTACCCCATGTGAGTAGAACTGCCCCAGAGGGTTTGCTAGGCTATAATCATCATGAAAGCAGGGTGCCAGGTCTTTCTCCATGGAGCTGCTGGGTGGTTGCAAACCACCAACTCCTTGGTTCAGCTGAGTGTTTAACCACTGCACCACCAAAACTTCCAAAAACAGAAACATCCAGCTGCTGTAGAAAATTACAGCTAATTTCAAATTGTTTAGCCAACTGGTTGCCTTCCAGTTGACTCTGACTCATGGTGACCCCACCTGTATCAGAGAAGAACTATGCTCCAGAGGGTTTTCAGTGACTGATCTTTTGGAAGGAGATCTTCAGACTTTTCTTCTGAGGTGCCTCTGTGTGGGTTTGAACCTGCATCCTTTCCATTAACAGCCAAGCACATTAACTATTTGCATCACTTGGGAACTCACAAATGGTAGAACCTCCTTAAAGTACACAGCAGTTAAATGAGTTACACCTGACCAAAAGGCAAGCCTCATGACACTGTGTTTTCTTTTTGTCTTTTGTCTTCCTTTGAGAGTATGACAGTTTCTGTCCCTCGTCTGGTCTGACCTACCTTCTGTCTCACATCTCACTAATGGCCACTTTCCTAGGTCATAGAGGAGAACAAAGTGCGGCAGTACGATTCCCTCCAGAAGCTGCTGAGTGAGAAGAGCCTCTTCCGGCAGGCCATCAGCTCCTCGGACCGCGTGAAGTTCTGCCCGCACCGCAACTCGAGCAAGCACAAGTCTGTGTCCAAAATCTCCGCTCTGAAGGAGGAGACGGAGGAAGAGGTGCAAGAAACGAGGCTTTAGAGAACAGTACCAGTGTTTTTTCTTAGGAGAGTCACTTATGGAGTTAGGAGAAAAAAGTTGCCTTTGCCTCGCAAAACAAGGCTGAATAATGTTTGTTTAAAAAAAAGTGGGCGGAGGGTAATGTTAGTATGAGGAATTAACGACATTCATCTGTGTCCAAATAAATGGCTTCCTGACAGTGGTCAAATGGAAGATGTACCACTTGGTGTTACACGAACTAGATTTTCCTGAAAACTCTTTCCCTTTGGTAGTAGTTGGAAGGTGGCTATAACCAGCTTAATTATTCAGTGAAATGTGTTTGTTTGTATTATTGGAGAAAAACTGGAATCATATTACTTACAAGTAAGATGAAATGAGGGTAACTGAAAACTTCAGTGGTTTACTTACGTTTAGATTCCTTTTTTTCCTCTCCCTCCAAGATATTTGCAGCTAATAACTTTCAGCTCCAAGATATTTAGAAACACAACAATATCGCCTGTTAAGCATCCCCACTGTCCCAATTCCAAGCAACTATTAGAATACTGTAAGAGTTCCACAAAAGCTCATCAAAATATGCCTTACTCAATATCTAGGGATTAATGGGGAAAGAGAAATTTCTGACATTGGAAATTAGGACTAATACTACAGCTCTACCAACAATCCAAATAATTCAGATAATCTGGACACACCCCTTACCTGGGAAAATGGCTGTTATAGCCCCATGCAAGTGACAAAGGGTAACTTCCTTGATGTGGAAATTGGCATGCCTTTCCACAACCTCCAGAAAGTTAACAAGCTCATAAGACCTCTGAACAGAAGGGTGATTGAAAAGTGCATCAGTGCAAATTCGTGCAGGAAAACCTTCCTTACCCCATAATTTCCTGGTTAGAGAGCACTGAGGCAGATGGGCCACAAGGTACTCCAGGTGGACACATATGAGCTGTGGGGATCTGGGTATATAAGGGGGATGTGTGTTTTCAGGAGACCTGTATACGCTTCATACTGTCTACACGAAATGAGCCAATGGGAGACTGAATTAATTAGTTTTATATACTCCTGTTTTATAATTTTGTGATGCAAATGAAATTTTCTCTAGGAAAATTTATTTATTTTAATAATGTTTCAACTCATATATAACAATGCTGTATTTTAAGAATGATTATGAATTATATTTGTATAAAAGAATTTTTATATTTTAAATGTTGACTTTTTATAGCATTAGCTATTTTTTATGATATCTTATGTTGAAACCGGGGTAAGGGGGTGGGGGCCCTAGGGTGATCATGGCCAGGGTCATGAATTACCATTCTGATGTGAAAAGAAGCATAGGCATTATACAGATATTGTACACACCTGCAGCAATGGATTCCTCTTGAACGTAGTTCTAAAGAAGATGCTAGCACAAAGTCTGACTCCTTCTATGTAGGGCACAATGCCTTCTCAACTCCAAACTGACCCTTAAAAACACTGCATTCTATTTATTATTGTAAGGAAAATATCTGCCAATAAAAATCCATATGTTTGTGTGAAAATGAGCTGTTTTTCTAATGTGTTCATTAATTATGTCTCTACAGTCTTACTCCAGTCTCTAACGTTCATAGGACATGATTTTTTCTTTTAGATATTGCATCTTTGAATTTCCCATGTGAATTAAGACACTTTTGAGGCTTTTTTATTTTAAAATATACCTTTTCTGCAGTTGTCCATTATTTATTTATTTATTTGTTGTTGTTGTTAGGTGCCACTGAGTCAGTTCCAACTCATAGTGACCCTGGGTACAACAGAATGGAACACTGCCCAGTCCTGTGCCAGCCTCACAATCCCTGCTATACCTGAGCCTATCATTGTAGCCACTGTGCAATCCATCTTGTTGAGAGCCTTCCCCTTCTTCACTGACCCTCCACTTTGCCATGCATGATATCCTTCTCCAGGGAATGGCCCCTTCTGACAACATGACTACCAAAGTCAGTGAGACATTTTCACTTCCAAGGACCATTCCAGCTGCATTTCTTCCAGGTAAGATTTGTTTGTTCTTTTGGCAGTCCATGGTACTTTCAGTATTCTTCGCCAGCACCACAACTCCAAAGCACCAACTCTTCTTCGGTCTTCCTTGTTTGCTGTCCAGCTCTCACATGCATATGAGGCAACTTACCCCAGTTTCAACCTAAGATATCATAAAAATATAGCTTGAGTTAGGTCCTTAGTCTTCAAGGAGACATCTTTGGTCTTCAGCACTTGAAAGAGGTCTTTTGCAGGAGATTTACCCAATGCAATATGCCATCCAATGTCTTGACTGCTGCTTCCATTGGTGTTGATTGTGGAACCAAGTAAAATGAAATCTTTAACAACTTCAATCTTTTCTCCATTTATTGTGATGCTGCTTATTGGTCCAGTTGTGAGGATTTTCATTTTCTTTATGTTGAAATGTAATCCACACTGCAGGCTGAAGTCTTTAATCTTCATCAGTAACTGCTTCAATTCATCCTCATCTTCAGCAAGCAAAGTTGTGTTATCTGCATATCACAGGTTGTTAATGAGCCTTCCTCCAATCCTGATGCCACATTATTCTTCATATAGTGCAGCTTCTCAGATTATTTGTTCAGCATACAGATGGAATAAGTATGGTGAAAGGATACAACTTTGACACACTCCTTTCCTGATTTTAAACCATGCAGTATTCCCTTGGTCTGTTTGAACCACAGCCTCCTGTTCTATGTACAGGTTCCTGAGGAGCACAATCAAGTGTTCTGGGATTCCCATTCTTCTCAATGTTATCCATAATTTGTTATGATCCACACAACCAAATGCTTTGGCACAGTCAATAAAACACAAGTAAACATCTTTCTGTATTCTTTGCCTTTAGCCAAGATCCATCTGACATCAGCAATGATATCCCTCATTCCATGTCCTCTTCTGAATCCACCTTGCATTTTGTGAAGTTCTCTGTCAATATACTACAGCAACCATTTTTGAATTATCTTCAGCAATATTTTACTTGTATGTGATATTAATGACATTATTCAATAATTTCCACATTCTGTGGGATTACCTTTCTTTGGAATGGGTACAAATAGGGATCTTTTCCAGTCAGTTGGCCAGGTAGCTATCTCCAAAATTTCTTGGCATGGACAAGTAAGTGCCTCCAGCATGTCATCCATTTGTTGACACATCTCAATGGGTATTCTGTCAATTCCTGGAGTCTTGTTCTTTGCCAATTCTTTCAGTGCAGGTTTGACTTCTTCCTTCAGTACCATTGGTTCTTGATCATACGCCACATCCTGAAATGAATTAACCAATTCTTTTTGGTACAGTGACTATGTATTATTCCTTCCATTTACTTTTGATGCTTCCTGCATCATTCAATATTTTGCTCATAGAATCTTACAATATTGCAACTTGAAGCTTGAATGTTTTCTTTAGTTCTTTCAGCTTGAGAAATGCCGAGCATGTTCTTCCCTTTTGGTTTTCTAACTCCAGGTCTTTGCACATTTCATTATAATAATTGGCTTTGTCTTCTCAAGCTGCTCTTTGAAATCTTCTGTTCAGCTGTTTTATCTTGTCATTTCTTCCATTTGCTTTAGCTACTCTTCACTCAAGGGCAAGTTTCAGAGTCTCTTCTGACATCCACTTTGGTCTTTTCTTTCTTTCCTGTCTTTTAAATGACCTTTTGCTTTCTTCATGGATGATATTCTTGATGTCATCCTACAATTCCTCTGGTTTTCAGTTATTGGTGTTCAATGCATCAAATCTAGTCTTTAGATGGTCTCTAAATTCAAGAAAGACATAATCAAGGTCATATTTTGGCTCTCATAGGCTTCTTTTAATTGTCTTCAGCTTCCACTTGAACTTGCATATGAGCAGTTGATGGTCTGTTCCACAGTCAGCTCCTGGCCTTGTTTTGGCTGAAGATATTGAGCTTCTCCATTGCCTCTTGCCACAGATATAGTCGATCTGATTCCTGTGTACTCCATCTGGCAAAGCCTAGTGTAGTCATCATTTATGTTGCTGAAAAAAGGTATTTGCAATGAATAAGTCATTGGTCTTGCAAATTCTGTCATGTTATCTCCAGCATAATTTCTATCACCAAGGCCATATTTTCCAACTACTAGTGATTCTTCTTTCTTTCCAACTTTTGCATTCTGATACCAGTGATAATGAACACATTTTGATTGCATGTTCGGTGAATTTTAGACTGCAGAAGTTGGTAAAAATCTTCAATTTCCTCATCTTTGGCTTTGGTGGTTGCTGTGTAAATTTGAATAGTAGTAGTATTAACTGGTCTTCCTTGTAGGCATATGGATATTATCCTATCACTGACAGCATTGTACTTTAGATCTTGAAAACATTCTTTGTGACAATGAATGCCATGCCATTCCTCTTCAATTTGTCTCTCCTGGCATGATAGATCATATGGTAGTCTGATTCAAAATGGTTAAAACCAGTCCATTTTAGTGCAATAATGCCTGGGATATTGATCTTTATGCATTCCATTTCATTTTTGACAACTTCTAATTTTCCTAGTTTCATGCTTCGTATGTCCCATGTTCTGATTATTAATGAATGTTTGCAGCTGTTTCTTCCCATTTTGAGTTGTGCCATACTAGCAGATGGAGGTCCTGAAAGCTTTACTCCACCCACATCATTAAGGTTGGCTCTACTCTGAGGAGGCAGCTCTTCTTCAGTAGTATTTTGAGTAACTTCTGACCTGAGGGGCTTATCTTCCAGCACTATATTGGACAATGTTTCAGAGCTACTCACAAAGTTTTCCAGTAATATTTCAGACTATATTTCACTGCTATTCCTAAGGTTTTCTCCGGCCAATTCTTTGAGAAGTAGATGGCCCCCTCCTTTTTGCGTGTCTGTCTTAGTTTCAAACCTGTTCACCATGGGTGACTCTGCTGGTATTTGAAATATTAGTGGCATAGGCCTCACAGCAACACACAAGCTACCACAGTATGACAAACTGACAGATGAGTAGTGGTTATTTGTTTGTAAGCATATTCAAATAGCAGTAGCTGTTT